GAGGTCAGCTGGAATGGAACATCTTTTTTAAAGAGTATTGCCACACCACGGGCACTTGAAGTGAACGGAGACTGATATATTTGAGATGCCCAACTGCATTTTAGTCTATGTTGTACTGCCGCTTTAATATGAGTCTCCTGGAGGAAAATTATATCCGCTGACAAAGACTTGAGATGTTTAAACACTTTCCCCCTTTTCACAACACTTCCAAGCCCTTTAACATTCCATGAAACTAAATGTAAAACTCTATTTCCTGCCTGTGCAATACCCTGCGTCCTATGCATTTTTTAAGAATGAGCTAAAGAAAATGACTTGTGTTGCTCCAAGGACCAAGCCGCCTCTTTGGCATCATTGAAGATTGCAGGTGCTTCTAGTGTTGCCAACTTAGCGACTTTGTCGCTAGATTTAGCGACTTTTCAGACCCCTATAGCGACTTTTTTTCAAAAAAGCGACTAGCGACAAATCTAGCGACTTTTTCTGGTGTTATTGGCGACTTATCTGGTGTTTTGGCGACTTATCTGGTGTTTTGGAGACTCGTGAAGCACGTATTGTTCTGCTGTCCTCAACGTGAGCCCCTCCCCCGTCCCAAAGCACTACAGGCGGCCAGTCTCACAGTAGCCTTGCGCAGCAGTCCCAGCTACAGTCTATGGGCGGAGCAGAGAGAGAGAGAGAGGAGACTCTGGCCCCGTCCCAATACTCGCACTTCCACCCTCGCGCCCCTCATTTGCGCGTTCCCGATAAAGGGTGCGAGTGCGTAGGGTGTCCCAATTCTCCAGGGAGGTATTTGGCCCCGCCCCCTTTGCGCCCCTGATCCACACTTCGCCGTAGCCTGCATCTATGCGCACTCTGGCGAAGGATATTGCCCATAATTCTTTGCGGTACACACCAAAACGACGGGAAAATGCAATTAAATATAAATTGTGAAATATATATGCAGTATGTGTGTAAATAAGTTTTGCTATGTTACTTGGAAAGAAGCATAAACGTCTGATGAAGAATTACGGACATTGTGCTTTAACAATTTAATAACTTTATAAAGCAAGCGTTTATATAACATTCAATTTAAACTTTACACTTAGTACAATAATCTTAGAATGTATAAAAACTGACCAGATAGTTAGTTACCCACATTTAACTTAAAATTATACAGCTATCTCTAATTAAAAACAACTAATATAAATGTCCCCCACTGAAAGATCAAGGCTATGCTCACACTCAGAGAGCAGCCGTCCTCCTGTGGACTCACCACCTGCAGAGGGTCAGTGAGGGGCTGGTGCTATGAGACTTGGGTGGCATCTCTGACTGCCACCCCCCTGACCCAGAAATGGATTAAAGGGTAGAAAATGGATGGATGGATGGATAATATAAATGTATTATAACGTGTGTGAAGCAATTCATATTGTTTCCCAAAGGGTCAGACAAAATTACCTTTAATTTTTATAAAGTTTAGGTCTGAAAATGACCATCTCTTGACGAGTCGATGACGTAAACTGCACTCAGTGTGCAATGTCCCAATTCCACCTTTTGTGCACGCTTGCAACCTGCGCACTCAAACCCTTGCGCGCACTTCAAACAAATGCACACTTCATAGGAGGGCGTAGGGTGCAGTGTGGGTATTGGGACTGGGCCCCTGTCTCAAAAGCACAGGAAGTTTTCAGGCTGCTGCAGACTGAACTTCAGCTCCACCACCACCACACATCCAAAGCTCCCCGGCCACCCCCCACTACCCCCCACTCCATCCGCGGCAGCTCTGTCCGTGACTCTGTTTTCTCTCAGTAGTGGGTCACATTAAATCATTTGTTATGCCAAACTATGAAAAAAAAAAAAAATAATTACAAAAATAAACCTAAGTAACTCTGCCAGAGTGTGTCTTTTGGGTCACTTTGCCGGTCCCAAGCCCGGATAAAGGAGGAGGGTTGGTTGTAGAGCTAGCAATTTCACCCTACATAACAATCTTTTGATTACATTTGCTGTTATAACATTTAACAATACAGGACAAAACTGATGTGTGTGTGGATCTAGACAAAGCATTAAAATCATTAAATGTTGTTAATGTTGAAATTATTTTTGTACATTTGTAGTTCTAAACATATTTAGGGTGTTTTTACTCACTTTTGTCTCTCCCACGACCTTATTCCTCTCTCCTACAGCGTCCGTTACAGTTATTTGCAAATGGCAAATTATGCAAATTAGGCGATGACGTCATTTAGCGACTTCTAGCGACTTTTGGGACAGCCAATAGCTACTTTCCTTACTGAGGAGTTGGCAACACTGTGGCCCAGTCCCAATACCCACACTGCACCCTACACACTTCTACGAAGTGTGCATTTGTTCGAAGTGCAGACCAGGGTTGGAGTGCGCAGGTTACAAGTGTGCAAAAAAGGCAGAATTGGGACAGTGCACCTGAGTGCAGGTTACGTCATCGACTCGTCAAGAGATGGTCATTTTCTGACCTAAACTTTATAAACATTAAAGGTCATTTTGTCTGACCCTTTGGGAAACAAAATGAATTGCTTCACACACGTTAAAATACATGTATATTAGTTGTTTTTAATTAGAGATAGCTGTATAATTTTAAGTTAAATGTGGGTAACTCACTATCTGGTCAGTTTTTATACATTCTAAGATTATTGTACTAAGTGTAAAGTTTAAATTGAATGTTATATAAACGCTTGTTTAAAAAAGTTATTAAATTGTTAAAACACAATGTCCGTAATTCTTCATCAGACGTTTATGCTTCTTTCCAAGTAACATAGCAAAACTTATTTACACACATACAACATATATATTTCAAAATGTATACTTAAATGCATTTTCCCGACGTTTTGATGTGTACCGCAAAGAATTATGGGCAATATCCTTGCCCTTCCTAGATGCAGGCTACGGCGAAGTGTGGATCAGGGGCATGGATGTATTATATTAACTGGATAGGGTATTACCATGGATGTATTATATTAACTGGATAGGGTATTACTAGCTTGTAGCTGAATAACTCACGTGCTCAGGGGATTCTCGCGGTACTGCAGACTGAACCAGACTAAATTCACGTGGGCCACCCAGAAATTTTCCCCATAGAACTCAATGCATATTAAAACAGCTCGACCTCAGCTGACAGAGAACCTACAGCTTTAATAAAGATCGGATTTTGTGGGGATTTTAGTGTCCCTTGTCATCCTGAACTTTTTTTCTTCTTAAATCCTTTGGTTTTGTTTAAATCCACACTTTAATGCCACAAACTCTGCTCGTCTGGCTCTCGCTCTAACTCCCGCTCTGAGGAACTGCTCTGATTGGTCAGAGCGCGGCCGAGCCCCTCTGTGCACGTGCGTGAGACCCGGTGTGAGACCCACACACGCGTGTTTGGCGCAACGCATTATGGGAGATCATCCACTGCGCAGAACCGGGAGGACCAGACTATGCCCAAATACAGGCGAGTTTCCCATAGATCTTTGCGAGTTTCAGGCAACTTCCGCTAATCTTTCAGCCCCCATGCCGTCACAAAGCGCCACTGAGCACAACCATTCATTTGAATAGGGCGCCATCTTGAATCGCCGGGGCTTGGGTATTACTAGCTTGTAGCTGAATAACTCACGTGCTCAGGGGATTCTCGCGGTACTGCAGACTGAACCAGACTAAATTCACGTGGGCCACCCAGAAATTTTCCCCATAGAACTCAATGCATATTAAAACAGCTCAACCTCAGCTGACAGAGAACCTACAGCTTTCATAAAGATCGGATTTTGTGGGGATTTTAGTGTCCCTTGTCATCCTGAACTTTTTTTCTTCTTAAATCCTTTGGTTTTGTTTAAATCCACACTTTAGTGCCACAAACTCTGCTCTTCTGGCTCTCGCTCTAACTCCCGCTTTGAGGAACTGCTCTGATTGGTCAGAGCGCGGCCGAGCCCCTCTGTGCACGTGCGTGAGACCCGGTGTGAGACCCACACACGCGTGTTTGGCGCAACGCATTATGGGAGATCATCCACTGCGCAGAACCGGGAGGACCAGACTATGCCCAAATACAGGCGAGTTTCCCATAGATCTTTGCGAGTTTCAGGCAACTTCCGCTAATCTTTCAGCCCCCATGCCGTCACAAAGCGCCACTGAGCACAACCATTCATTTGAATAGGGCGCCATCTTGGATCGCCGGGGCTTGGATCAGGGGTGCAAAGGGGCAGTGGGCCATAGATCAAAATACTTGAAAGTGGGCGTGGCTCAGATATTTTTCACAATAAAAGTCCTATGCCTCTGCTGGATGTCCAAAGTTCGAAATACAGACACATTTCACGTAGTGTTTCTGAGGAAGGATTGCTATTAGATATAATCAACGTAAAGTCAGACGTGTTGTTGCTGTTCCAAATACTGTCTGTGCCTCGCGAACTGTTTCCCACTACACGGATCTGAACAGCTGCAAGGTGCGCAGTTTAACCTGGAGCTGGGTTGTTTTCATTCACTAAACATGCTCACAACAGCGATGTACAAACACATGCTCATCGCCTGCTCTCACACACTGTTCTCATAGACTACAGTCATAAGAAATGTTGATTTAGAAAAGCAAATTACATGTGGAATTAATGCTGTAGGTGATCGCTATCACAAACCAGGAAAATGACGTTCGGGTTGTATGAATGAGCAATACTGTGACTAATAATGAGCATGCAACTGTGACAGGACGAACGTGTGTGTTAAACATGACAGCAGCAAGAGGTTATCACTGAAAGACGACAGCAGACGGTGAAACACATGTTGTATTTGTAAAGTGGGCTAGATCTGCGTGTCTGCGTACGCTCACCCTATGATCTATGAGTAAGTAGAACTCGTTCACCGGCTCTGTATTGTATTGTATAAATGACCCCAGAGAGCCATGGCGGGAGGGGCCATGCTTTTTTTTTTTCTGTGAAACTTTCTGTTCTCAGGAGAGGTCGGGTTATGTAATGAGGAGGAAATGCTTGTATAGCTCCAAACTGAGAGGGGAAGCAAAACTGGCAGGATTTGCCTTTATCAACATGTCAAAACCTAATTATGTGAGTACTTTTGTAGTGGTAAACATAAAAGTTTAAGAATAGTCTAAAGTTTTTTCTATGCTAAAGAATGCAATTCAATTTTAAACTTGCAAAAACGTTGAAAAATGAGTTCTGCCTTAGTTATGCCTTATGCGTTTGAGAAAAGTTGGAAACTGAAGTGCTGTTTCTGTCTCTGTTTTGCTTCAGGATGAGTTGGCTCCTCGTCCAGAGGTATTTGACTTCAATGGAGTAACAATGATCAACGCTTTCACTGACAACTGGGAAAATGTGCAAAACTTTCAAGCCCGACCTGACGATATTGTTGTTGCAACCTATCCCAAAGCAGGTAAACATTTGTCATCATTCCTCTACGCATACAATAGACTGACTAGGGACAAGTGTTGAAAAGGAAAATGGCTTTGCTTTAACACAAAAGGCCTGGTCAGTTCAATGTAACTGTCCATATCAAAGAAATACAATGCTGTGTTGAGGCTAAACTGTGTTAAAGGGTCTAATCTCACTATGAAGCAAAGTCCTCAATGTTATGAATGTCCTCAATGAGTTCTCACTTCTCTGAGTCTGTTAATATAAAATCCAATAGCTATAAACACAACACTTGTCATTGATTTAACCAATCCACTTTATTTGCACAATTTTGTACAACAAAGTTTCCAACTCTCAATCCAAATAGTGTTTTATATTTATTGCATTCAATCCATTTTTTTTTCTGAAAAAGTACTGTATGTATGATACGTTAGACTCCTGCAAAGGTTTTGTTTGAGCTAATGCACATGTGTTGTGTTTCAACTAGTTTAACTGTTTGGGGCTCATTGAAAAATGTCCTAAATTATATAAAAGGAATCTACGGTACTATAGGCTTAGTTCAGGCTTCACAGTACCACCTTTTAATGGATTGAAGCTAAGCCCGGTGGAAAAAAACGGATCATGCACCAACTATTGCACATGCAGTTGTAATCGTTTGCTTTGTATTGTTAATGTAATCCGTATTTGCTTATTATTCTAATGAGGTCCTTTTCTGCGTACACACCGGAGCTCAACCTAAAGCTAAACCACAGTTGGAGGGGCTGAAGGCTCAGACCTGTTGCCTTGCTTCTGTTAATCTGCCCCCAGACAGCTGTGGCTACAGTTGCAACATTCCTCCACTGTGAATGAACAATGTTGTGTTTTTAATGACCCATTTAATGAGCGCTATGTAAGAAGCAATATTTTAATTACAAGATTGTTGGCACAAACAAAATGTATAATTTATGAACAAAAACAGATCAAGAAGAAGTTACAGTTTTTAAACTTTCCTGAAACTCATCACTGTCTCACTTTCCTCCAGGAACAACGTGGGTCTCATGCATTCTGGACCTGCTGTATTTTGGACAGACACATCCAGAGCGGCAGACCTCCATCCCCATCTATCTGAGAGTGCCCTTTTTGGAAATGGCCCTTTATAGTTCAGGTGGAGGAAACTAATTCCTATAACTAAAAGCAATTTATAGGCTTTTAGTTATAGGAATTATTATAATATATGAATTATGCACGGTGGCTGAGTGGATAGCACTCTCGCCTCTCAGCAAGAAGGTCCTGGGTTCAAATCCCGGTCGGACCAGGGCCTTTCTGAGTGGAGTTTGTATGTTCTCCCCGTGTCTGCGTAGGTTTCCTCCGGGTACTCCGGTTTCCCCTACCACTAAAAATATGTCCAATAGTTCTAGCATGCGCCTCCTGTACTAGCAACCCCGCTCCCATCTCTGTGTGGAGTGAGAGATAAATGCCCAAAAATTAACAATTGTAAACCGCTTTGAGACTCAGATCTGCAGTGAAAAGGCGGTATATAAATAAAAGAGTACTTACTACTTACTGCTTAAACTGGGGTACCTAATTTTCAGACCACAACCAAAGATCATTGAATAACTTATTAGTTCTTCACTCTTACAGTTTGGTTCTATCACTTTAGTTTTCAAATGCATGTATTAAAAATTGAAAAACTTAATCAGCTCTCAGCCCAAACCATCAAACAGTGACTCATTGGCATCTTTCTAACGAGTTTGCAAATGATAAACCTTCTGTTATAAGATGAAGACAGTTTGTTGTGGTCCAATGTGTTTATAGACGCTATGTTAGGACCAACACAATGTATATATGTATTTAGATTAAGATTAAGATTATTCATCCCACAGTGGGGAAATTCCAGTGTTGCGTCACAAGTTATAGAAACAGTAGGAAAGAGGAGCACACGGCACAAGATAACTGAAAGATAGCTATACTAATTAAAATAAATAAAAATCTCTAACTCTTGCCTCAAACAACAAGTATAACATTTCTATCTTGAAAATGATGATAATAAAAAAGTATAAAAAAGTATAAATAAAAAATAGGTTGCCCTGCTTTAAATTTCATTGGTAAAGTCTACATATAATTTTCTTTTATATTAATCCAGAAATCAATTTTGTGGGAGTAGACATCGTCAATAAACTTGACACTTCGCCACGACTGATTAAAACCCATTTTCCAGTTCAGTTTTTGCCCAAGTCTTTTTGGGAGAATAATTGCAGGGTAAGAGGCTTAAATCCAAATATTGAAAAGTCTCTGTTCTACTAATGAGGCTGTGATCTGTTTTGAAGATTGTGTACGTGGCTCGTAATGCCAAGGACAACATGGTCTCCTACTTCCACTTTGACCGCATGAACGCAGCGCAACCAGCGGCCGGAGAGTGGAAAGACTTCTTCCAGAGATTTCTAGACGGAAAAAGTACAGAAAAGATATTGTGTTTTGGTGTTTCTGATAATCCTTGTGTTTTGTATTTTTTCCTGCAGTGGTATTTGGATCTTGGTATGACCACGTAAACGGTTGGTGGCAGAAGAAAAAGACATACCCCAATTTGCATTATATGTTTTTTGAGGACCTTGCAGAGGTACATTTACACCACAGGCATCGAACACAAACAGGTGGAACTGGGGAAATTAGAATATTGTTTAAGTTTACAAAATAAAAATAAGTTATCCATTTATTTATATAGCACATTTTAGCGCTTAGCTTTATATGTTTAAAAAATAGAAGTGAAACATTAAGTACAAGTTCGAAATTTGATTTATTTTGTGCAGTTGCATTAAAAACATGGCTGCACCAGATTTGCCACCATGCTACTTTCCACCTTCCAAAGTAAAAGCAATAAAAACTGTAATAAATCCAATCTGAAAATAAAAATAAATAAAACAGAGGACCACACAACTCTATTCATAAGTTTGAACAATATTGAGTCCTGAATCTACAGCCTGTCTGTTAGTTTTTGAGTCGTTGCATTTCCTGTGTTCAAACGATTTGATTCTTTGATCTGTTGTTGATGAATTGACAACTTGCTACATGCAAAGTTGTTTGTTGTAATGTATTGTTTTGTTTGGGGGTTTTATAAACTGTAAGCTAGTTATAATCATTATTATCAACACATATTTGTCTCACACATTTCACATTGTGAGCTGAATCACAGAAGTTAATGGACTTTTGAACAATATTCCAATTATGCGAGTTTGAGCTGTATATAAAATTGACATGCAGTTAATACATGAAAAATACACTTTGTTTCATTCTTGCAGAACACAGATTTGGAGATAACTAAACTGTGCAGCTTCCTTGGGCTGTCCGTGAGCCCAGAGATCCGTCAACACATCACAGGTGAAGTCCAGTTCGACAACATGAAGAACAACAGCATGGCCAACTACTCCACGTTAGGCCACGGAATCATGGATTTCAACACGTCTCCCTTCATGAGAAAAGGTAGCACTGTATTCCAGGCCAAATAAAATGTAATACTATTTTTTTCTCTGAGACGTACAACGGCGTATAAGCATTGTAAGACATTCTGGGTTTAATATCCATCATGATTGTAAAAAAAGAATTATTCAACTACTAAATAGACCTACTTCCCACTTTACTCCAACCACAATGAGACACACGGGAAGTATCCAAGAAAAGTAACATTTTTGTATTTTGAAATATGTTTATTTGATAATTAATTTGAACGTGCAACTGGGCTCAACACCAATAAAATATGCCCTAACAGTGGTGTTGCTCATTTTCAGTTCAATTCATAACAGCAGTCGTCTCGGAGGACTTATCAAAGTTGTCGATTCACCAACAGTAGATCAGAGAATCAAACAGTTCGAACCCAGGAATTGCAATAATAACACACACATAGGAGTCTTTAGCATAGACTGTATATAGTCCTTAGGGAGCGGGACAACCAATGCCTATGTTACGTACTGTGTGTTAATAAATGTGCATAAATGTCCTGGATCATCACTCTCCTCCATGTCACATGAAAACACTGCATAAATATACAGCCACATGTCACTGCTTCCATGGAAAAGTAAAAGGGTCAGTTACGGTTTTGCTGTAAATACTTTTTTGTTTATAATGAATACATAATTTATGGGGACAGTTGGGTCTGGGCTTCAGGACAGTTTTGAGATAGTTAGACTAAGAGAACCAACTCAGAAACGCAAGTCAAAATCAATGCTAAGGGACCACTTTGGAAAACTTGGAGTTGACAAAGAACTGTTTTAATAATCACAATATCATTTATTTCCTTAATAATTGCAAAGATTATTTTTTCAATAACTAAACAGCTGTATGTTGGGACGCATTGTGAGCCTTTTGTGGTCGTTTTGGGAATGTTTTATTTGTGTTGAACTAATTTTCATATTGAAAAGTGTGATACAAAATAGTGTATCTTGTATATTTCCAGTGTGACGAAACAAAACATTCAGAAATCTTGTATCGATGGAAATTAAACCTTTTTGTCCAACCAGGATTTATTAGAACTTTTAGTATGTTTTGATTCTGGATTCCTCATAGAAATTATCTATGGTGAAAAATACCATTGCAATTATTTTCTATTATTGGGATTTATTATCAGGTAATTTCCCTGGCCTCCATAAGCATGTGTGTAATAATGTTTGAATACATCTGTGTGTATTGAGCTGAGGTTGTTGCTTTATGCACAGGCAAAGTTGGCGACTGGAAAAACCACTTCACCGTGGCCCAAAATGAAAAGTTTGATGAAGATTATCAGCAAAAAATGAAGGACCACACGCTGCAGTTTCGCTCATTGTTGTGAATGGAGGAAACATGGTGCAAGGTGGGAAATCACCACAGGATGGCGCTGAAGACAGTTTTAAATTGAACCATGCAAGTGCTGTATAATTCACTTGAAAGAATCAAATAGACATTGACCAAAGATACTGCAGAAATTTATGTTTTTTATGGCTAAATACAAAGCAGTTTTAAAGCATTCTTCACATACCTTTACCTCCGGAGCTGGTCCCAGTCATGGATCTATGGGTCCCAGTGCAGACCATGGTGCAGACCCTCAACCCCTGAAGCTGACCAGTGTCTTTATAGTTTTACTGCATTGATCAAAACCTGATCAATGCAGTAACCTCCAGGCTACAGACAGGCCTGTACTGGGGGCCTCTCAACCACCTCCGTCTCCACCAAAGACTCCCTCATCACCTTCCATGGACCCGGTTTGGGTCCCCCCCGCCACATCCACTCCATCTAAGGAACATGAGGACGACCTTTCCCTGTGTTTTCCATCACTATTGGATTTACCGGAACACTCTGCAGGCATGATAAGATCGGCGATGAAGAATATTCCTCTCACACCCACTGTAGCCAGATCAAGGGTCCTATCTAACATTCATAACTTCTCCCCATACGTACCTCCAAAGCCACCTAGGGCGTCCAACTCAAATTCTCCCACAAAATCCACCCGTCCCTCAAATTCACCCGCAAAATCCACCGGTCCCTCCCCTAACCCCAAAACCATTCCAGCCCCACCCCCACCCCCCCCTCGTTTCCCATCACCAAGAACCCCTCCACCTCCACTCCCCCCTCGTCCATCTCCCAACTCCTGCCCCTCCCCTAACACCCATCCACCTCCAACCCCCCCTCGTCCAACACCCAAGAACCACCCACCTCTCCATCCTCCTCCCTCCTCTCCCTAGGATGCACAGGGTCTCTGCTTCGCAGCCACTGGCAGTCTAGTTAGAGGAGAGACCCTGTCATGAAGCCACCTGTGCCATTCCCTTAGTGATAACACAAAGAATACATTACAGAAAGACATCTGGAGTTAATCAGTCTAATCTGGAAAATCTAATTCTTGTTCCGTGTAAGAATCAGCCGACCACAACCGCTGATACTGACACTTTGAAACTTGCTATGCTAAATGTCAGATCTCTTTCTAACAAGTCTTTTTTAATCAATAATTTTATTTGTTCTTATAATCTTGATCTTATGTTCATGGCTGAAACATGGCTTGACCAAAATACAGAAAATGCAGTTTTAATAGAAGCATCACCACCAAATTTCAAATTTGAATCTGAAATACGGGAAAACAAAAAAGGAGGAGGCTTAGCTGCCATTTTTAGAGACCACTTTGTCTCCCATAGAATGTCTCTTGGGAAGTTTCCGTCTTTTGAATATGTGTCTTTTAAAATACAACAAAAACAATCTCCTCCAATACTCTTCATAGTCCTATACAAGCCACCGCAGTCATGTCACAGTTTTATTGATGATTTTACCGAGTTGCTTTCAGTTGTATGCACAGATTTTGATAGTTTAGTTATTACAGGTGATTTTAATATTCATGTGGATAATGTTGATGACAGAAATGCAAAAGAGCTGAGTTCTTTACTTGATACCTTTGGTCTCACTCAGCATGTGAGTGGCCCCACCCACAGCAGAGGGCACACTCTAGACCTGTTAGTTACTAAGGGGGTGAATATTTCAAATATAAGCGTGGTCGATGTTGCTCTTTCGGATCATTTTTGTGTATTTTTTGACATGTGTTTCACTAACAAACCACCAGTGGACTCTGCAACTGTTCGAAGAAGACACATAAATGAAAATACGAGTGAACTATTTATGGGAATGATAAACTTTGAAAATGCATCGTATTCTACTGTAGATGAACTGTTTAACTCTGTCACCTCTAGTGTTTTGAATGTTCTGGATACCGTTGCCCCTGTGAAGGTTAAAATAGTGAAAAATAAGCAGAAGGCGCCGTGGGCTAAAGCAGACTCGGTCAGAGCACTGAAGAGAAAGTGCCGGAGGGTCGAGCGGAAGTGGTGCAAGTCCAACCTCCAGGTTGATTACAAGATATTCAAGGATAAGTTGTGCGAGTTTAACTGGGTGCTACGTAGTACGAGAGAAAGGTATTTTTCTGAAATGATTGAAGGCTGCAGTAACAATCTGCGTGTTCTGTTTTCAACAGTTAATAGATTAACAAACCCCCCTGTTCAGATGCCATTAGAGCTAACTTCCAAACGTAAATGCAATGAGTTTGCACACTTTTTCAATGACAAGGTTCAAGGCATCAAAAACGCCATTGTCTCCAATCCACAGATAACCATCCAACAGCCAGAAAGGCTCTCTGAGCTAACTTACTTTGCACCTGTAAATGATAAAAATGTCCAAGAAATAATCTCCAGTTTGTGCTCCTCCACATGCAGCCTGGATGTACTACCCACTAGATTTCTGAAGTCTGTTCTGAACAGTCTGTTACCTTCACTCACACAGATAGTAAACATGTCCCTTCATTCTGGAATATTCCCAAAGGCCCTGAAAACGGCAGTCATCAGGCCCCTGCTAAAAAAGAGCAGTCTGGATGCCACTGTAGTTAACAACTATCGTCCCATCTCAAATCTGCCATTTATGGGGAAAGTCCTTGAAAAAGTTGTCTACCTACAGCTTACTAGATTTCTTATAATCAACAACTCATTTGATATGTTTCAGTCCGGCTTTAGACCCCACCACAGCACTGAGACTGCTCTTGTCAAGGTTACAAACGATATCCGGCTGAACACTGACGCAGGCAAAGTCTCAATCTTAATCTTGTTAGATCTGAGTGCTGCCTTTGACACCGTCGACCATGAGATCCTCTTACAGAGACTAGAGGACTGGGTTGGCGTCACTGGCACCGCCCTAAGTTGGTTTAGGTCTTACCTTGAAGACAGGAAGTACTTTGTGGAGATTGGAAACTGTTTCTCAGATCATATGGCCCTGACCTGTGGAGTACCACAGGGGTCGATCCTGGGACCTCTTCTGTTCAATCTCTACATGCTGCCGTTAGGTCAGTTAATACGCAGAAACGAAGTTTCCTATCATAACTATGCAGACGACACTCAGATTTATGTCTCACTGACTGCAGGAGAACATGGACCAGTGGACTCACTCCTTCACTGTATCCAACAGATCAGTGAGTGGATGCAAAACAACTTCCTTCAGCTAAACGCAGACAAAACTGAAATGATTGTCTTTGGTCCCCAGAAACAAAGAGAGAGCGTCATCTGTCACCTACAGTCTCTCTCCCTAAAACCTTCAAACAAGGTCAGAAATCTAGGGGTAATACTGGACTCAGACTTAAATTTTAATAGCCACATCAAATCAGTAACATCAGCAGCTTTTTACCATCTAAAAAACATTGCCAGGATCAAAAACATAGTATCTAAAGCAGACTTGGAGATTCTTATCCATGCATTTGTCTCCAGTAGGTTAGACTACTGCAATGGCCTGCTCACAGGTCTGTCCAAACAGGCTGTAAAACAGCTGCAGTACATTCAAAATGCAGCAGCTCAAGTCCTGACTAGAACCAGGAAGTACGACCACATTAGTCCAGTTCTACTTCATAGTGCTACGCCCCTTAGGCTCGCTTTGGGTATGACTCCAGAAGCACCTAGCTTCCCGCCAGAGAGAACTCAATGCTCCAATCACTGTGCAGAACCTCCTATAAATAGCCCACAGCAGACCATGCTCTTCACTTTGAACTCTGGCGCCATTGAGAGAAGTTCTACTCACCATTGAAGATCGCGATGTCTACTCCTCCTCGTCCGAGAACTCCTTCGCCATCCGGCGTCGGACGAAGACGGTGCGGTGGCTGCCGGACCAAGCTCCACCGCAACGACCGGCACGAGTTCTGCTTCCTCTGCCTGGGAGCTCACCACCACCGGGAAGCGGCGACGTGTGCGGCGTGCCTTTCTCTCCCCGGGGAGGAGAGAGAGCGCCGCGCTGCTTATGCCACCTCCGCGGAGGCTCGCCCGGGTCCCTCCCAGGAGGAGGAACCTGAGGTTGAGTATGTCCCGCTCGACCTGCCTCCTGCACCCAGGGAGTGGTGAGACTGTGTTGTGGAGGAAGAGTTTGACGAGGACCGGGGTTCCTACGTCACTCTCGACGAGGCTATTTCCTTGTGCGAGGAACAAGACCGCTTCCCTCTGGACCACATGCCCCGCCTCTTCGCCACGGCAGCGGCCACCATGGAGACCCCCCTGCCTCCGCAACCCACCCAGAGAGAGAGCGACTTCACGTCGGTGGGTTCATCGCTTCCAGGGAAGAAGAGACGAGCTCCAACACTGTGTCCGCGGATGGATCCGGTTTTCCATTACGCGGCACGTGATTGGGCCAAACCCCTAGCAGCTAAGAAGCCTGCTCTGGGGTACGGCGCCTATTGCTCGGTCCAAGACTGGTCCTGGTCCAAAGGGGTCCCGGAAGTGGAGGACGCTGTCCGGCTCGCACTACTCCCGCAGTCCTCGGTGTGGCCCGGCAGCAGACCTCTCCTTCCCTCGGAGCGGGATAGGATGAGCATGGCTGTACTGGATAGATGCTACGCTAACGCAGCACAGGTCGTTGCGTTAGCTAGAAATATGGCTCTTCTCACCGGGGCCCTCGATAGGTCTCTATCCACGGGTCAAGCTCTCACCGACGAGGACCTGGACCGGGCCAGAACCACCACGGCGGCCATACTCCGTATGATCCAGGCGCTGGCTATTGACGGTGGGCGATCCATGGCGTCCGCACAGGTCGGTGCTCGCCATCTGTGGCTGGGGCTAGCGGACATCAAGGAGACGGAGAAGAGGCAGCTCCTGGACCTCCCTATCTCCTTGGATTCCCTCTTCGGTCCAGACATGAAGGGGCTCGTCGCGAGACTGGACGCTGCTGCCAAAGACTCCGCCATGCTGGCTCCTCATCTGCTCCCTCGCCGTGTGTCACAGCAGCAGCAGCAGCAGCAGCAGCAACAACAACAGCAGCAGCCTTATCGCGGCAGAGAGAGAGTGAGAGACC